CGTGCATCGGCGCAATTTCCACACCGCCGCCCATATCTTTCGTCACGTTATTAACTCGCCACGGGTCGGATTAAAGCGGCGGTTAAAGCCGGCCAAGATTGCCGCCTCGAGTTATGGAATTATAATTGAGCCCTGTTACCAGACGACCGCTTATCCGACAAATCCCACTTCGAGTTAGGCTTGAATTTATTCCACGTTTATGTCGTTTGTTGCTCTTAATACGGGGGTAAATTATGCACGCGTGCAATTATAGGTTATACACAGGGTGAGGCGAAATGGAAATTTATTTCCATATCTTTCTATAAAAAATTAAATTGGACGAGATAGAGGGCCTATTATTTTGGACTCTCTTCGAACGAAGATTATTCCTTTTTAAATAAAGTGTTTAGATATTTAATTATTAATTATTATTGGAGAGGAGAGGAGAAGAATTTTGTCGAATCTAAAAAGGTTTTTACTTTTCTTTCTTTTATCTTAACTTATCATTTTTCTCTCGTAGCATTTCCGGAATGCTTCGTGCCGCATCGTTTCAAAGACGACTAAAAATCCATATCGCTCAGCTACTATTCAGCCAACTATTCCCTCTACCTTTTTCGAAGATATTTCTACTTTTTTTTAAAAAACGTTGAAAATGCAAAGCACGAGAGGATGAAATATTCAAAGTGTCGATGCATTAAGGCCGTATGCACTCCGCAACCGGATGAAATGTGTGTTACGAACGTACTCGGCCGCCGTTTAATGAGGTGGTATGCACTACGTGACACGGCAGGTAGAACCGAAAGATTATACAGGTCAAGCTGCACGTTGCTGCTGACCCACTTGCGCGTCGCAAAATCCCTCGACACATGGAAGGTTGTTCGAATAGAAACGCCTCAAAGGAAACGAGGAGGAGAATCGTTGGTAAGCTCTTCGAGGGGAGAGTCACGGACTTTTACTTTCACTTGCCGGATCACCAAAATTGGAAATTATTTCGTTTCAGTGAGGGAACAATTGGAAAATTGCTGAGAAGAAGAATTCGTTTCGCATCGAAGCGTGAGAGGATAAATATTTCATCTCGAAATAAAAGGTTGAAAAATATCTTTGGATATTTTTTTTCCTCGAAAAATTCTGTTATTCATATCGGAACGAGAAAATGGAAAAATATTTTCGGGAACAATTTTTCGCGAAGTGGAAATAAATTATCTGATTTTCGTTATTACCTTGATTCGAAGAATATTTTAACGACGTCGATTTAATTATCCGATCGAAGGAATTCGAAAGATGGTGCATTATCTATCCAAGAAAGCAAAGAACAAGGTTTCAACCTCCATAAGATTCCGTCTCGAAATCGAACGACGAAAAGGCGAACGATCGTCATCTCAATAAAATGCCATTACACCGGCACGCGTAGTGCCTCCAGTATCTGGAAATTGCGTCTGGAAACGAAGTCGATATCCTGCTTCGATAATTTAAATGCCTCCATGATGAGCCCCTGACCTCGTGTTTATTCCTTTCTCGCTTCCTAACATATTCATTGCATACCGAAACGCGAGAAGAATAAGAAAGAGAGGAAAGCGGAGAGAAATTAAGGGAAGGGAAATTGTAAATAAAGGAGAACGACACGCGAAATTTCAAAGGAAAATTGGAATTCCATACATTTTCTGCAACCGATACGGCCCGTAACTCGCGTGAGAATTCTCTGGTTGACGATGACACAACTTAAAAGATCGACCTAGCTGATCGACAAGGTCCTCTCGAGGAAGTCCAAGTTTTACGACGGTGAACTTGAATCCTATCTGCACGAAGATTTCTGAAGATTTTGCTTCATTGTGTACAAATTTCTACACATCACTCAATTGTGGAAGAAGGCATCCAAATCCATTTTCCATCAGAAATTTTGAGTCGCTGCGCTGTGATATTTATTTAAGAAGAAATTTCTAACATCGAGGAAAATATTAAATGTTACGTGTTAAATGTAATGGTGAAATTTCAATATATAATTTATCCACATTTAAAATCGTTTTTGTAAATAATCTCCCTTCCCCCCTCCTTTCTCCCAATTATTTCGAACGAAACATATTAAAGCTATAAAGTGCAGAACGAGCAAACAAACTTATTAAAGTTGAGCGCAACAACATCCCGCCCCTTCTCGATCACCCTCCATCCCCCATGGCGGAACCGAAGGAGCTAATTGCCTCGAAACTTCTGCACGCTTATATAGCCTCATTCTTACGGGTCTTGAACGGTACAGGACTCTTTTACAACCTGTTTACGGCTTCTCGCGTGTCCACATCGGGACCGGTTCGATACGATGTTCCTTCTTTCTTCCTTTTTTCTTTTCTTTTTTCCTCCTCTTTTTTTCTTCCGCGATTTTTTCCCCCTCGTTTATTTCATAACTTGGCCTTCCCTGTCGTCAGAGCTCAGCCTTGTACACCCTTATCCTCATTCAACAATTTTATTTCTTCTTAGCTTCTCTTTGATACGAATTTTTAAACGTGTGACAAAATGTGATTTTTACGTGTTTAATAATATATATATATATTTTTCGTATCGTAGTTGGTGATGATTTTCATATGATAATTTCAACGTTAATACAAAACTTCGATATTAAAATATTTATTTTTTGTATATATCGATATTATTAATAGCATTATGAATTGCTAGATCTATAAATCATTATTTAGGATTTAAAATTTGACAAATATATATAGTACCATAAATATTTCAAAAGATTTTGGAAAATTTTACATCGATAGGAAACTATGGTTGAGGCGTAAGATTTATTTCTTATAACGAAGACGTTTCAAAGGCGACAGGGGTTGCCTTTTCATAATTTGTCTGAAGCACAGTTTGCGACTTTATTGTCATGGTAGATTATGATATTGGTGTAATTATGCTGCAAACGTCTTAGTTCGTAAATCATGCAGTGCGGTTGCTTTATTACTGTTTACTTTTGGCCTGAGATTTTACACGTTGTACCGTCTTGTAACACGTAGTTTGAAACAATTTCTGATGCTTTCCACTGAAAAGAGATATATACGCGTGTTAAATTGATTTTACAAAATATCCTCCCTCCCTCCACCCTACTCCCCTTAGTTTTCACTTCTTTTTTTCTTTGAATCTTTGACTTTAAATTGTAAAACACAATTCTGAAACGCAATTTTTGCGAAAGTCAATTCGTGTGAATAGAATGTTTTGTAAAAGTTGAAATTAAAAGTTTAACAAAATTTAACGTTAAATGTTGTAAAGGATAATCAATTGGTTTAAATCATTTATATTATTTGTAAGGAACTATTGTTAGATAAAGGTTTATATAGAAGGCAAGTTGAATGAACAAACGAACGAATCAAGTATACGTATAATTACAATACAATGGTCGCTTTAATTTAGTTCACATTCATTCAAAGTAAATTTAGAATAGATTGCAATACATCCTATTATTAAAACAATTTCAATTAACGCTTAATAACGAGTTTATTATACGAACAATTGCAATTCAAATGAAAATAAGAATTTTAATAAAATTAATATTCAGAATTTTATATAATAAATATTTTCCAATTAAAGAAAAACTTTATTCTCTTCTTAAGTTTTTCTAAGAAAATTTCTATTGAAACACAAATCGAAAAACAAATTTATAATTTATTAAACACAAATTTATGCTATCAATCGCTATCGAATGAGTTTAATTATATTTCTCTGTGTATGTATAATTCTCGTTGAAAAGGGCGAAGGAAAACGAAGGGAAAAGGCATGGAATACACGAGTAAAGTAAAATAAATATATGCGATGAAAATGAAATATCGAGATCCATTGTGTAATTGGTTGGGAAAAAACGAAAACAGAGGATTGAAAGAATGAATGAATGGCGAGCGACAATTAGAGCACAGTAGACGCTTTAATTTCGCCGGATGCTTTATGAGCCGACCGACTTAATTCCATTTAGAATCGCCGTGCGTTTAGCATCGCATTCTACGATTGTGTAACAACTTGTTGCGAAACTCTCGTTTTCCCACGGCACGTATTTAATTTACAGAGTATAATACGTGGTGCAAAGGCACGAGAATTACTATAATTAAAAATCGAGCGTTTGGAAATGTGTTGTCGCATAAATGGAAAAATAATATTTCGACCGACCAGAGATGAAAAAGTGAAACATTTTTTGGCGAAACAGAATATTTTGAAATGTAGAAGGAATATATTTCTTCAACACACAGATTCTTTCTTCTTTTCTTTTTTCTTTTTTTTTTTTTTCTTGCAATGTAATGTAATTATTGCAACATGTAATTATATTGATGACAGTAGTATCGATAATTGATTTATGAATCGTTTATTTATCAAAGAAAAAAAAATAATAATATTATGAATTTCTAAATTTGCTACATTCTCAAATCTATCTAGATTTAAATCTATATAGATTAATTAAAATTTATTATAATATTAATAAGATTGTTTACGTAAATATAATCATTACTATATATAATAATATGACAGTGAATAAAAATTCATATTTATGTTAATCATAAATGTAATCCAAATATTCATCAACTTCTTATTAATCGTAAACTTCTTCTTCAAAAAAAAAGTATTTGAATCATCTTCCCATGACTATAAATTACTTTGGAACAAAATAATAATTTCTGGCTTTCCTGAATAATTTTTTTCTCCGCAAAGGAACAATTTCAATTATTCCCCAAGACATAGACCGTTTTGTCCCTATGTAGATACAGGATAATTTGAATAAAGCAAAACAAAAAAAAGAAAAAGAAAAAAAAAAAAATTCATCAACTCCTGAGAAAACGTTCCCACATGTATATACAGAAAAATATCCAAAGAATACCTAAGAACAATTTGAATTATTTTCCCAAGACAAGTTCTTAGATAGGCACAATTATTTATTTAAAAAAAAAAAAAAGAAAAAAGAAAAAGGAAGAATAGAAATCTCGTGAACAATTTTCCCTCTCCACTGAGAGATATCCTAGCCATCTACTCAACGACTATTTTCCCAAGACGTAGGTCCTCGTACAACCGTTTCTACGCCTATGTTTATAGAGGGTTGTAATTCGAGACCGCCTCGAAGGGAGAGTGGGGTAAAAGTGGCTACCCTAGGTTATACCTGCGAAAATCTATTCAGTTCGGTACTCGTCTAGCGTTCAGGCAACAACACATCCACAATTCGCAGCAATCCAACTCGAAGGGAACGTTGGAGAGTCCTTCGATTTCATCTTGATTCGCGCTCTTGCGACACCTTTCGTTTTATTCTCGTGATCTATTCGTTCCTTTTTTCGTCGTTTTTCCTTGCATCAATCCTGTGATGCACGTGATGAAATATAAATAATTCGACATCTTGAAATTACCACGTCGTGAAATGCGAATATTCGTACGGTTTTGTTTGTTTGTTGAGATATCGCGAGCCAAGAGGCTTTTCGAAGATCCGCGGAAGTGTGCGTGAAAGAGAGATCGGTTTAGATGCGAGGGATTAAACGTTGGCCTAACACTGGGGAGCAATAAAATAATAATAGGTAATAAAATAACAATAGACAATTAGTATAAATAATAATATAATAATTGTAAAATAATAATAGGATTATTGAACCGTTCTAATTAGACTATACTGTTATCTTTTCATTGATGAATTATATTCTCTTAATACGCGTTTCATTTGTTCATACATTTGATATTAAAAATGTATCTAGCAAGAAATAGTTTGAAAAGAAAAGAATAATAACCATTTAAGAATTTTTTATAACCTCAAAAAATATTTCAAAATAATATTTTCATTGCAAAATTTTAGCTAGCTGATATATTTTACGACCGCACTATTATATTATATTATTCACCTACTATTATCGTACGTGCCTTCTTTGTAACGAAAAGATTAGAATTTTTCATTAATCATCGACAATAATGATAACGAACGAATCTAATCGTTTTTTAATTTAATTGAATATAATTACGCGTTATTATTTACGCGTTCGAATTTCGATATATTGTTATAGGATGGATGTATCACGTGGTTGATTGCACAGTGCTTGGTATAACAAGACAGCAGAAGCAAGCAATTGCCATCCACTGTCTGCAAAAATCT